TGGTCACGCCACCAGAGTAGTATGTCAAAGGATTCCTCATAACATGTGACAGGGTCACTATCCAAGTAAGCTGAGAGCTCACTAACACCAGCTCTAGCTGGAATAGATGAAGATGAGAGGGAACAGCTAGGGGATACACCAGGGCCTCCAAAGATCCTTCCCCATGCCTGCTTTCTCTTACGGAGAATGTAATGAGTGAAGGTGTGAAACCCTTTGAGACCTAATTTGCACCACCAAATTTCTGCTCATACTTGTTGAACAATCTGTACATTTCATCTTTCACATCAGCATAGTATGAACTATAAGTGAATCCAGTATGTTGAGCAAGTAGTTCAAGCACATTAAAGAATCCTTTCATCTTAGCTCTAGGATCAAGAATGAATGCATATGAATAAAGCAGTGAAATTTTCTCCCAATATTTAAGAAATTTAAGCTTCATAGGATAAGCAATCATTCTAAAATTCCGATCTCTTTCAGCTTTATACAAATGTTCAGTAATGTCAAGAATATGGTGCAAAACGAGTGGAGCTGTGGGATAATAAACACCAGACAGAACAACAGTAGAATCATAAAAGAGTTCTAGAAACACCATTATCTGTTCAGCAACATACCAATGCTGTGTAGTCAACAATTCTGAACCATAATTAGAGTTAAGCCATACAGAAAAGACTTCCTTGTATGGCAGCAAATGTTTAAGCATTAAATAGGTGGAATTCCATCTAACATCCATATCCAAGCCAAACTTTCTAGGTCTTATACCCTGAGCAATACAGTAATTTTTAAACATGTAATTTTTTGATTAGAGGAATTCAAAAAGTTTATTGCAGTTCTGAAATCTTCAGTAAAAGGTTTCAATCTCTTCAAGCCAGATTTAACAATCAAATTAATGATATGATAGGCACAATGCTGATGCACAAGCAAATACTTAACCTTATGAGGATCATCACGTGTAGGTGTAGGATAAGAACCCAAGTAACCAAAGAAGACAGGTTGCAAGATATCATAAGCCTTAGAATTAGATGAAGCATTATCTAGAGTGACAGCAAAGATCTTATCAATCAAACCAAACTCCTCAACCACATCGGCTATTTTTCAGCAATGTTTTCACTAGAATGTGACACCTCAATTAGCCTAAAACCAACAACCTTTTTCTGCAACTCCCAATCAGCACTAACATAATGACCAACAACAGAAATATAGTCCTCCTTAGCATTACCAGACCAAATGTCAGATGTTAAAGAAACAGATGAGCAAGCAGGCAACAATGAATTCATAAGCAAAGAATGTTGATTAGCAAACATTTTGCCCATATCTCTAGTAGTGGTCTGCCTAGAAACATTTTCAAATCTAGGGTTATGAGCACACTTAATGTAATCCTCCTAGGCCTGTGTCTCACCTATGCCTAATGGAAGGTCCAGCCTAGCAATCAACCGGCACAACTCAGTACGAGCAACAGCAGGGTCATACACCCAGTTATGCAAACCATCAGCATTCAGAGCAAGCCTAGACTGGACCCTCTTATCATTATTAGGTTTTGCCTTACATGATCTCTGGTGTCGTTTCAAATGACCAGTGCCAGCAGCAGATCTAGCAGAATACCTCTTACCACACATTTTATAGATGGCAGCAACTCTTATGTTACCTTCCTTAATCTCAATGAAATCCTCCCAAACAGGAGATATGAGCTTACCCTTACCAGTACCACCAGTCGATGAGGTACCATGAGTGTCGGTCGAGGCTGCCACCCCACTGTCGCTGTCGCCGTCACCGGCATCGAGATCAATTGTATGGGTGCCATCACCGAGATTGATGTCGAATAGCCCGCGGGCATCCTCACCGATGTCGTCGTCGTCCTCGATTTCTAGCTCCTCCTCGGGCTCAGGGTGCTCGCCATCGGCTAGGTGGGAATAGACATTCGCCACCACTGGCATGGTGACCCCAGCCGAGGAAGGGCCGGACGGCCGGCCCCGGCCCTGAGTCCCCTGACCTCCAGCTCCAACACCGTCCCTCAACGGTGGACGCTGGCGCTTTGGCGGCCTAGCCATGGTGCCTCCAGAGGAGGAAGACGCGACGTCAGGCACCACCAACCTACGAAGAACAGGGGTGAGTCAGTGAGTGAGTGAAAGATGGACAGACACAACACATATCTAAGGTTAGGGTTAGGGTTAACCCTAACCTGCGCCACCGGAGCCCAGTGCCAGAGAAGAGGCCAGGGAGGTAGCCAGAGGAGGAGACAGACAACAGTTACAACGACGGCGAGCGGCGGCGGAAGGACAGACAGGCACGACGAACTCACATGGTACACCGGAGGAGGGGGGAAGAGGGGATAGGAAGGGAAAGGAGGGAGGAGATGGTTAGCGAACTCAGGTCGAGGTGGACGAGCGGCGACGAGGTCACCGGAGCAGGGCCGGCGAGCTCAAGGCGAGCGGCGGCGAGCTCCAGGCGGCGGATCGAGAGCGAGCGAGACGAGACGACTGCGAGCGGCGGGAGTGGAGTGGGATTAGGGTTAGGGTTAGGGATGGGGGGCCGGGGGGCAGCATTTATACGGCCGCGGCCGCGCGGGGGAGGTGGGCAGGCGGCTTCGTGGGCTGGCCGGCTGGGGGCTGGGCCGCTCACCGGGCCGCCTCTTTCACCAGGTAATGCCCGTGCCGTGCCGCGGGCCTAGGTGGCGGCCCAGGCACGTCCTGGTCCTTCGGGCCAGGCCGGGCCGGGCCCGATGGCCACCGGGCCGTGCCGTGCTTGGGCCGGGCCACGAGCCCGCGGGCTGCATGGCCAGGTATACGCGCCGGAGCAACCGAAACCGACCCAACGACGAGCCCAATTTTAAAGCATGCAGCCACGACTAGGCATCTATCTCCCGGTCGCGGTCCGCGATGGCGGAATTGGAACCGCCGGTCATACACAGACATAGCATACCATACCCTTCGATTGAGGTTGGAGCTATAACAATCAAAGAAACTAGGACCAGCATGGCGCGACCGACCTAGAAAACGTGTGACTTGTGACCCCGGCCCGTCCGTGCAAATGCATGGCCACCTCGCAGCTCATTTATTGAGCAGGGACCACTGCATCAGACACCGATACGCCGAGTGCTAGCTTCTGCAATCGTCTGTCACCATGATTGACTCCATCTCCATGAGGCTTCAGACTCCTCGAGCAGTGTAGGTAGCCTCTCCACTCCAACTGCAATGACTCGATGAGCGACGACGCACGTCAAGCGTGCGGCGTGCGTGCGTGCGTGCACCGCCGCACCGGCGTACGCACGTACAGTACGTCGGACAACGTTGAAACTCCCATCGCAGTAGTACACGGTGCTGCTAGCTTGTATGGAACGCCGACTGCGGACTTGTCCGTCACGTCACTTCTGTGATTCGACCCGTGAATGCATGATGTACGTGCGCCACGATCACGTGCGCATGAATCTCGTACGTACGAGACAAGTAGCTGGAGAGTATAATACGTATAGACGTACTACGTACGTACGTGCACACGGGCCGCGCGGGCGAAAGTTTCAGTCGCGCAAATGTGCGTGAATTTAACTTTGAAAGGAGGCCCGCCGGTCGGGCCGGTTGGCCGGCGCCAAAGCGCTGAAGTGCAGAGCCGTGTGCCCGCGCCCAGCAGGCAGCAGCACCCAGACCCGGCGCGAGACGCGTCGATGGCGTGCCGTCAGATGTACGCGCGCGCGCGGGCCGACCGGCCAACCAGCGTGCGGGTGCGGCCGGCGCGAGGCCCTCCGGCCCAGCCCTGACTCCTCTAGCGCAGGCGCAGGCCGGCTGGGCGGGCGGCTCATCAGCTGACTGCCGCCGTGGAGGCAGAGACATCAGACATGCATCATGTACAGAGGCCAGCGGCCAGGCCGCGCCACGCCACGCTAGCTAGTAATCACAACGGCTCACCTCCAGCACGCAGGCGGGGCGACGGTCGACGCGCCCACATGATGGCGCTCTGCGCCTGCGGGCCGGGCCTGCTGCTGCTGCAGCTGCAGCTGCGTGCATGCGCCTGCGCCTGCGGTGGTCCACGCACGCAGAGCAACTAGTAGTACGCAAACGCCAAGCGCCGAGCGCCGAGCGGCGGTAGTCAAACAAACGATCCATCCATCGGGCCGGACGGCGAGGCGAGATCGGCCGGTCGATCCACTGGGTCGCGCGCGCGCGCGGCGCATTGACTGGACCGGACATAAAGGGCGCCCTGTACTTTCGCCCAACCCCAACATATGCAGGACAAGGTGCCGGTTTCTCTCGGGCAACCATGGCCCTGCCTTCCCGAATTATGATACGATACGAGCGAGGCCCCCGGCCCGCCCGCCCGTCCGACCGACGAAACGCATCGCCGCCGCACCGGCCGGCCAGCTGGGGGTGGAGTGGGGTGGAATGGCCGGAGATGCGCGGACCGAACAGTGATGCACGGAACGGATCCATGTGGAATTGGAAAAGCTGCCCGGTCCTGGCCGGCCCGGACGGCAGCAGAACCTCCGGTCTCGTCGTGGTGGTGGTGGCCACTGGCGCGCGCACTGAGACTGAGACTGAGGGGACTTTTGCAGGGGAAACCATCACGGCACGGACTCGAATCGAATCGCACCTGTTGGACCCGGCCGGACGGACGTCAGACGACTGTGCTGCCTGTGTACTCTGTGGACACTCGAGCAGCCTGCAGCCCTCACATGGGTTCTGGACTTTGGACATTCTGAATCGGGACCAAAACAACTTTTGCGACGCACTACTAGTACGCAGTATTGATACGTTACATTCATTCATTATATTGCATGTATTGTTGACTTATAAGAATCACAAAGAATTTAATCCAAACGAATGAGGCGACACGTACGACGACCGAGGTCTACACTCGAGAGTACACGCACTGATCCATGCACTACGTCTTCTTTCTTCGGAACAACGACTAACATGACTACAAACAACAATACACAGGTGCATGGAGAAGAACCGGTCACGCCATATCAACTGGAATGGGACGTAGGGCGCACGCGTGTATCGATCGATCGATCAGCTGGCCTGGTCTCCGGCAGCCGTGGAATTGACGTAGGCGAACCACCTCTGGAGCTGGCGGTTGTAGGCGCACGGCCGCTCGACGTGGAGCAGGTGGCCGGCCTTGCGGATGCCGTACAGGAAGCAGTTGTCGCCCAGCTGCCTGCGATGTCGTTGGATCGCTCATGCATGGTTAATTAGCGCCAGGAATATATGGCAAAATTCGCCAAATTTGGATTGGCAGCATCAAAGGCAAAGCGGGGAAGAATGCTTACTCTTTCATCTTCTTGGCGAGCTCGATGCTGAAGATCTTGTCCTCCTCGCCCCACAGCAGCATTATTTTCTGCAACCACGGTGAGAATTCGTTTCACTTTTTGTTTTCGTATGCAATTCAAATGGGCTTCATTTCTTTCTCCAAAAGCTCAGCTGGCCCTGTCTAGGCTAGGTCAGGCCCAACCAGCTCGGAGATTATCAGGGCTTTGACCAGGCATGGGACCAAGAAAAGAAGTAGCCGAACGGCCCAGGACAAAGAGCTCTTTGGATGTATCTGCACTCTGCCGGTCACTTTCATCAGTCAGCTAACTTAGCTCTATAAGCTGTCAGCCGAGTGACACGGAGCTCCTATATTATATTCCATCATGCATGCATCTGATCTACTTTTCTAAGTTGGTAAACAAATCAAGTAGCTGAGGGTTGGTTTGATTTTGTATGAAATTAAGGCGGTACCTGTTGGAATACGGGGATCTTGGCGTCCATGTTGCTAGTTATCAGCCCCTGCAACAGCTCCATCCTCTCCTTCCTGTTGGTGAACATCACCTGCTCGCCACCAAACACAAAGCATAAACATCGACAAAATCAAACCCAAACAGGCTGTGCTAAATGTATAACTCTTATCCTCCCTGGCGCGCCTGTAAAAACAATCTCCTACTTAATACAAAGATGCACAAATCTTTTGTGTATTCGAGAAAAAAGAGAATAACCCAAGCAATGTTACTACATTTAAAGAAAAGTCATGCGAACTCTATGCCTGTGTTTAGTTGGTTGAAAAGTTGGAATTTAGCTACTGTAGCACTTTCGTTTTTATTTGGCAATTAGTACTCAATTATGAACTAATTAGGCTCAAAACGTTCGTCTCGCGATTTTCAATCAAACTGTGCAATTATTTTTTTTCGTCTACATTTAATACTCCATGCACGTATCGTAAGATTCGATGTGATGGATACTGTAGCACTTTTTTGGAACTTTTTTTGGAACTAAACACGGGCTTTGTTGATAAATTTTGGGGGAACAATCTCTAGTCATTTCACTTATTCTTGACCTATATAGAAATTAAATCACCTTGAGGTAGTCCTTGTAGAACCTGTCGGGGAACCACATCTTCTTGTACATGGAGACGGAGAGAAGCGCCTTGAGCCCCTTGAGCGTGTCGGGCATCAGCAGCTCGGCCGACGACCCGGCCCCGAGCCGCTCCATGGTCTCCCTGTTCACGGCGTCCGTCATGGCCACCACGGACCCGGACACGCACAGCGACCTCACCAGCTCTGGCCGCGCCTCGGCCAGCTTGAACGCCACCATGCCCCCGTAGCTGAACCCGACGACGTCGCACCGCGCCACGCCCAGCCGCGCCAGCGCCCCGGCCACGCACTCCGCCTGGAAGTCCGGGGACCGGTCCGCGCTCGCCGTCGTGGACTTGCCGAAGAACATCAGGTCCGGGATGTACAGGTTGTAGCGCGACACCAGCACGCCGAAGTTGAACTGCCACGTCACGTTGCCCTCGGAAGCGAAGCCGTGGATGAGCACCACGTTGGGCCTCGACTCGGGGCTCTTCTTCTCCTTCTTCTTCTTCTTGGCGTCGGCGGCGGTAGGCTCGAGCGGGCTGACGGTGGTGCCCTTCTTGCCGACGTGGTGCTTGGGCGCCCACACGTGCATGGTCGTGCCCGGCTCCAGCTCCACCTCGATGGGGCGGAGCCCGGCCATCTTCATCAGCCGTGACAGCAGCGGCTTCTGCGCCTCGATGAAGTTCACCATCTTGCTGGAGGCTGGAGCTCGATCGATCGGCCTTACCGGTGCCTAGCTTTGCTTCCTCGCCGCTGCGTGATGGTCGGTGCGTGGCAGTTCGCTGTTGCTCAAGCGTGCGCGGCGGGCCCGTATTAATAGAGAGGCGCACCGTACCGGAGCAGGGGTCGGCGTGTGGCCGCATGGGCTGCGCAAGTGCAACGACGGGGAGCGGTGTAACGACCGGTGATGGCGACGGACGCGCGCGAGCCGGCGGGCGGGTGTGGTTTGGGTGGCGCGGGGCCCAGTGGCAGCGAGCGAGTGGAGTGGGGACAAGTTGAAGCGGGGAGGCGGGTTCAGTGATCTACCGGAATGCACACATGCGCGCGGTAGCTTGGATTGGTGCAACTAACCGATCCTACTGTTGTAGCGCTGATGCTTCTGACAAAAATCCTCCACAATACCGCAGGTGCTAGCGGTCATCAAGCACGTAGCCGGCCAATAGGTTGATGCTGGCGGCTGCAAATTAGGTTGTCTAGTTCGTGAGTAGTCGCTAAGGATCTCTAGTTAGGGAGGCTATGTTCAAATGTAACCATTCTTGTCCTCAGCGCGCTGCTAACGACGTGTCCTGTAAAAACTTTCTCCTACTTAATACAAAGATGCGCAAACATTTTTGCGTATTCGAGAAGAAAACGATTCGATAGACGAGTCGCGAAGAAGCTTTCAGTCTCTTATGTAGTGCGGTACTTAAAACAGGCTAGTTGTACTGTGATATATGGTCCGGAAGAAGGTTTATGGGACCGTGACAGATAATGATATCATGTTCGTTTCGCGGAAAAGCCAGGCTGAAAAGTATTGTTCGCTGATTTGTTGTGAGAGAAAAATACTGTACCATAGCTGATAAGCCAGGCTGATAAGTTCAAGCGAACAGACTTTGTAAACTAAAGGTGGTCCATGTAAAACTGATATATACTATGTTTGAGTAGCTAGCTTTTTATTATAACATTTTGATTTTTCATTCCAAAAATAACTTTTGCAATTGGTTTTGTTTCTTTATCGCGTTAAATTGTGTTGGTTTTTTCTTGCAAATGTTTTTTTCATATTTTTTTTTGGTAAAAATGTTTTTTCATATTTAAAAATAGTTTTGTTGGTATCTTTCCTTTACATTCATTTGGATACTGAACTATTAAGTTTTTATTAAATTTTTGGCTTTCTGCCTTTAGAGATTGTGTTTTACTTAGAATCTATATTTAGTTACATTTATTTCAAATTTGTCAGAATCAAATTGTTATTATTTTCTTAATTTATTTGTTGAATCTATTATCTAATATCTGTAATTGGCATGGACATGGACTCTTTGGTTAATTTAAGTCATTATTTTATTATAAAATCGAACAATGTATGTTCCTTTTTTTGTTTTCCAATTAATCCCATGAAATATTTTGATTTAATCTAGCCATCAGATGATCATTAAAATCTAACACTTGTTTTTTTCTCTGTTTTTGTTAATATCATAATTGTATTAGATACGGACACTTTGATCTAATCTAAGCCGTTACATCATTATAAAATCTAACGGCGTTTTTCCATTAGGCATAACTCTTTGTTTAATCCAAGCCGTTGGATCACTCTAAACCTCAACAATGTATTTTTTTCCCCTTACCATTAATCTCATAATTTATTATACCTCTAAATATGATTATTTTTGTTACCAAATACAGAGGTAATAGATTCAATCACTGAGAGATATGTACAGTTGTTGTGTTCTTGGTCCACGAAGCAGCGTGCTGATTTGTTCAGAAGTCGCGCTTCGCCAGGTACGGCGCCTTCCAGCCATACCAGTACGCGAACGCCGCGATGGACACGGCTGCGGCCACGCCGACCGTGGCGTGCCACGCGTAGCTAGGCGTGTTGCCGCAGCCACAAAGCCCACCCGAACGCGACCGCGCAGCTCCGCTCTGGCCCTCCTGAACAATGAACGCGAGGCCCTGCCGAGCGAGCACGGCCACGTCCGGGACGGCCGTCCCGCGCCGCACGGCGTGCGCGATCGCCTCGTACTCCTCAGGACTCCCACCTTCCAGGAACGCGCCGGCGATGCGGCCCGCGCTGACCCAGAGCGCGCCGAACTTGGGCTTGGACGAAGACGAAGCGGAGAAGTCCAAGTCCCCGAAGTGTACGGCCTTCCCGGTGTTGTCTCCGTAGAACTTCCAGGACAGCGCAAAGACCCTGGAGTAGAAGAAGGGCAGGTAGTCGATGTCCCCGGTGGCGCCCGAGGAGTCCAGAGCCGCCGCGACGGCGTGCCTCGCGGTCCTGCGCGCGCAGTCCACGTGCTCCAGCCGGCGGACTTCGGCGCCCAAGAGCTTGACGGGGAACGCGGCCACGTCGCCCACGGCGTACACGGAGGCGTCGCTCGTCCGCATCTGCCCGCTCACCTTGATGCCGCCCTTCTCCATGACCAGCTGGCCTTCGAAGAGCGCTGTGTTTGCGCGCGCGCCGATGCCAACCACGACCATGTCAGCAGGTAGGCGCCTGCCGTCTCGCAGGATTGCTGTCGTCACCTGTGCGCACACAAAATAGCAAAGCCGTATTGGCGTCACAACACATCTTAAGTTTCCGTATTGCTGAAAATTCAGATGATCATCTTGGAAATACACTTCAAACTTTCAGTATAAGCAGAGTTGATGGTGGTTAATATTGATTGGCAGATATCAGCTTTTCAGAATTTCAGATTGCCAGTGAAATACTGCTAGTAGATATTGAGCGTACATTCTATTAGCAATCTGAATGTAGCTGATCTTCAGATTACCTACTGTAAAGTTTCATGGAATGGATGAACGAAACTCACCTTCCCAGATGAGATCGCCAAAGATGAAACTACAGTTCCTTTGATAAAAGTGACTCCTTTTGAAGCGTAATAGTTCTCGTAAAATTCAGCAATTTTTGGTGTAAACAGATTTTCCACTGCAAAGGAAAAGTCACATCATACATTTTGGTATCTGTTAAACTTGTTTAGAAAAAAAAAAAACGACTGTATGTGTGTGAAGTTACACACTACAGTGCATCCAAGTGTCTTAAACTCCTAGTATTGAAACTTCAGGATGTTCACCAAACAGTAGCTTCAGCTACGTACTGCAGTGTTTTCCAGGGAAGACGATAGTAACTTTTATGTTGTTGGCAACCAAAGCGGCTGCACATTCCATTCCTATGTATCCACCACCAATGACAACGGCATCTCCACCAGGACATGATCTCATTACACGGATTAATTTATCTGCATCCTCAAGATTGCGCAGATAACAGACGTTCTCAGCATCTGAGCCGTTCCCTCCAATTTCTTCCAGCTTCAAGGCCTATACAATTTTAAAAGACAAAGCAACATGCTCTAGCATCCGTTAAAAAATTGCACATACTTGGATACATGTTAAGTTAAAGAAATAGAATATGAACATACCCGAGCACCCGTTGCAACAATAAGCGTTGCATAGCTGATAGTTTCCCCAGCGGAAGTAAACAATGTTTTCCGGCGCACATCAACAGAAATTACCTTCGTTCCAAGAATAAGCTCAATACCTAGCCAAGTGGTAAATCATATCATCCATAATGCTGAGACAGGAACTAGATATAAAGAAATGACTTGATTACAGGATCAAAGTACAGATGAGGAAAAAACAGACTTGCTGATCCATCTCTCACAAATTAAAGAATAGACAGTAACACTGACTATTGTCACTTCCTGTTGAGATCTAACCAAACATAGGGATTGCCAATATGTAAAGCATAAATAACACATAGGAGTAGCACACTAAACATTAACCGGAGCATACCGTGTTCTCTGTACCAATTATTTGTAAGTAACTGGTCGTTGGCACCAGCACAAGTATGAAATGCTGGGAGGCGAGCACCACCTGCAAATGTGACAAAATCCAAAGTTCTAGTGTAAATAATATTTCAAGATCTCCAAAATCCAAATCATTTGAGCATATTGCTTATATGTGGACAGCATGACATGCTAGCGCAGCTCTTAGTAGAGCGATGCACGATGTCGATCAGCAAGCGCTGTCACAGGTGTCAGCAGCTACACTACTATCGGTATTGGCGGCAGTATGGGTTGAGACGTTGAGTGAACTGCCGGCGACTACGTGATGAAGGTTATTCTTCACGCATGTTTAGACTTTAGTGCAAACACTCCTTGATCTGAGATTGAAATCGTACACACCTTCTGGGGACAAATAGCCTTTGCTTAGTGCAGGACGTTCATAAGGAGCAACCTGCCAAAGTGGTGGGAGAGTAAAATGGTTGGTTGGCAATCGCAGTGCAAGAAATAGCGTTTCTTTGTGCAGAGCTTTGCATGCTTAATTGAACAGAAAATGGCAGAGCGTGGAAGGCAAGCATACGGTCTCGTCGGAGATGATGCAGAGCTCGCCGGCGGCACCGTCACTGCGGCGGCGGACGAACTCGAGCGCCGCGTAGCCCGCGGCCACGCCGCCGCCTAGTATCACGTAAGCGAACGCGCGGCCCATCTGGTTCCTTCGCGCCGTTTCCAACTCTCTCTTCCTGTTCCAGTCTTCCTCCATGGGTGGGTGACCTTAAGTAGCCGCCTAGCTGAACCGCGATGGTGACAGCAGGCCTGATTGGGCCCCGCCGGCGCGGTTCTTGGCTTCCGAGGACGAGAGAGAGATGGGCCGGCATTGACAGGAAACAATGCCTTGCCCGCCTCCCCCCTTCTGCCGTTCTGCTGGACCCGATCGGTGCCGTTCTTTCCCTCGCCGACAAGGGAAATATTGGTATTCTTCTTGTCGAAGACAATATTGATCCTTCGCTTCTTTGCTGCCACAGTTCGATGCCATTCTAAGAAAGGACCAGCGGATTGGGCTGGCATAATTGCGTGGCTAGTATCAAGATTCAAGAATCTAAGTTGTATGTAACATTAGCATTATAGTACTGACGACCCCAAGTCAACAGATTAAAATCGCAGAAATAGAGTCGGTTTGCATGCTTGAACAGCTCGCCGGGCGCGGCGAGCTCGAGTGCCGCGTAGCCCGCGGCCCCGCCCCCGCCCAGCAGTATCACGTACATGAACACGCGACCACCGACCACCGCTCTCTCTCTTTTGGACGTCTCGTCATCTGCCGTCCTCCATGGATGAGCTTAGGTAGCCGTGATCGCCGCACGGCTTTGAGGAGAGCAAACGCGGGGCCGGCATAGCGGGAAACCCTCCCCTCCCCTCCCCTCCCGTCAAGTAAATAAATATATTGCGATTCTTCTCAAGATTGAGCGCCATTCTCAAGGTTCACCATCTCGGTGCTTTTGTTCTTGGCTTCTTTGCTGCCACAGATGGATGCCATTTTCAGAATTTATTGTCGTCGATGCAATGAAAGGTCCACAAGCATCCGAGCTTGGACACAAACATATGCTTTTATGATTACATAGGCTACACATTGCCATTCACAGTTATCTTCTTCGCTGATTACATGGACTTATAAAAGGTTTTTCAAAAACAGAAAGTTAACAACAGTGACCAGCAATGCCACAAAAATATGGATCTCATTCAGTAAAGAGTTGCAATTTTACAACAAGAGGGCCCCTGAGAGTTAGAAACAGCCTTCGGTTTCACTAGATAATACATGAAGGCATCTGTGTTTCTGTATACATTTGCCAGAGACTATACTTTCATACATGTGGTATACAACTTTGCTTCAATTAACAGCCAATAGAACTCATCCCAGACATTCCACTAGCAGGTCGGCACGGCAGACCAAAGGGAATCACCCCAAATCCTCAAAACCTGCGGCGCTTCCTGCCATACCAATAACCAATTGCAGCGATTGACACTGCTGCTACGACACCGGCTGTGGCATGCCATGTGTAAGTAGGTTTTCCAACAACGGCAAGCCCACTGTCAGGCACCTCCTTCTGGCTCTCCTGGATGGCAAGTGCCAGGCCTTGTTTCTCAAGTTCACCCATGTTTATGACCATAGCTTTCCGCCGAACAGCAATCGATATGGCCTCGTACTCCTCCCGACTTCCGCCTTCAAGAAATGCACCTGCAATTCTGCCTTTGTTGACCCAATATGCACCAAACCTTGGGCTGCTGCTTGTGAAGTCTCCAAAGTGGACCACTTCCCCAACATTATCCCCATAGAATTGCCAGGACAATGTGAACACTCTGGAGTAGAAGAATGGCAGGTAATCAATGTCCCTGGTTTTTGAAGGCTCCAAGATGGAGGCAACAGCATGTCTAGCAGTTCTACGAGCTGAATCCACATGTTCAAGCCGTCGGATATCACCATCAAAAAGCTTGATCGGGAATGCAGCCACATCGCCAACAGCATATACAGAGTTGTCACTTGTCTGCAACTGTCCATTTACCTTTATCCCACCATTCTCCATTGACATCATCAGCTGACCTTCAAAAAGACTAGTGTTTGCACGGATGCCAATACCAACTACTACCATATCAGCAGGAAGGTGTCTACCATCTTTGAGGATTACTGCAGTCACCTGTGCATACATGGAAATATTATTATGGAAAAAGTCCAGTTTTTTTAAGCAAAAAAAGGTCCAATCTAGTAATCTAGCCCTTAACAAGATTTTTCATTTTTGTTTCTCCACATACGAGTTTTAAGTTCAAATTTTCTGGGGTGGTAGGTGACATCATAACTTATGTTAGAAAAATACATCACAAACTTTTCATAATTATTTTTGATAGGTTAGGCATCTAATAATAAATTAGCCCTACATATACAAGATTTATATAAAAAAATAATGATAAATTTTCATACTTATTTTTCTAACAAAAGTTATGATGTCCCCTATTGCCCCATAAAATTTGAACTTAATACTCAACTTGAATGTAGAGAAACAAAAAAAAATACAAATTTTATCAAGGGGTGGATTGGACCAACTGAAGTATCTTTGAAGAGAAATTGAACACAAGATTAGTTTAGGGGGTATCCAAACAATGTTTTAGGACGGAGGGAGAAAATTGAAATGTTTCCAATTATTTAATTATCAGTGTCAACAAGATCAGTGTGTCGCGGAAATGCGTATGTTGTGTTGGATTTGCGGGCATACAAGAAGGGATCGAGTTCGGAACGATGATATACGTGAGAGATTAGGGGTAGCGCCAATTGAAGAAAAGCTTGTCCAACACCGGTTGAGATGGTTTGGACATGTGCAACGGAGACCTTCAGATGCACCGGTACGTAGTGGAATCCTAAGTCAGGATAGTAACGTGAAGAGAGGCAGAGGAAGACCGAAGTTGACTTGGGTAGAGGCAATAAAAGGAGACTTGAAAGGATGGAATATACCCAAAGACTTAGCCTTAGATAGGAATGCTTGGAAGACAGCTATTCACGTGCCTGAACCTTGATTGTTTCTGTTGGGTTTCAACTCTAGCCTACCCCAACTTGTTTGGGACTTAAAGGCTTTGTTGTTGTTGTTGTTGTTGTTGCATTGTCAACAATGAAGGCACTGGCTTGAGTTTCTGACACTGCTTGAGGATTCTAATTGGCCAGATTGTGAGTACTAGGCTTTAAAATAGGAGAGCAAATATGGTTGGCATTCAACATTCATTTGACTAAATATGCTTGATGCAGTAAGAAAAAGATTTACAGGAATTGATGACAGGAGCCGACCCAGCCTTAGGCCATAGAGGCCCAGGACTACCCTAGATTTTGAGCCAAATTATTAGTACTAGTTAGATTAGATTTTGAAGGTCTAAATTAAAAAAGTTCAACACTGTTAAGTACTTTTGTCTCCACATCATCTGTCCGCTCAGCTGATGCTCGTTGCTTGCGCTCGGCCCTCACTGGGTTCAAATTATGTATTGGATTATATACCATATTAAATGCGAGATATTTTTGCTAGACATACCCTGGGTTCAAATTATGATTGATGAATCCAGGTAAGCTCATCGCTATCATTGTTGCCACAGCATACCATTTGAGAAACAAGCCATTTATATTCCAGTGTTATCACAATTTAAGCAAGGAATACCAAGGTGTCAAAAACTAGATAGTTTATCCCCATTACATACAGGCTGAGTCCAGGTGAATCCAAGAGATGAGATTAAGACCAGATTAATAACAAATTTAGAGAAAATCTCTTGAAAAAAAAGCAGAAACCTAGTTTATTGCTAGCAATCAATGAAAATAGTAAGTTCTTGCTCTGTTTTACTATAATAACTTTTAGGTCGATGAAATTGTATGACTTGAATAGTTATCCATATGCACTAGCAGGAACCTCTAGCAACCACTGGAAAGGAAGCGCTGAAAAAGAGGTTTCTGGACCAGGACCTCTTGGTAATACGACTATAGTTTATTTCTTGGTGATAAATGTAAAATTGCGAACTATATATCTCAAATCAGTTCCAGTTTCATGATATGGAATTATGAAACCTCACCTTCCCCGTTGTATCTTTTTCAAAGAATGTAAGCACAGTTCCTTTAACAAAGGTGACCCCTTTTGAGGTGTAGTAGTTTTCATAAAATTCTGCAATTTGTGGTGTAAATAGACGACCCACTGCAGAAACAAATCAAGTTCATAATTAGACCAGAAGGAGAGGTATTAAAGCATGTTGGCAGCCCTGACACAAATAAGTGAAATTTTATTTATGAGATAAAAGCAACTACTTACTGCAGTGTTTCTCAGGGAAGACCATGGTGACCCTTATCTTGTTAGTAACCAATGCCGCTGCATACTCCATTCCAATGTAGCCACCACCAATGACAACAGCATTTCCGCCAGGACATGATTTCATCGCACTCACCAACTTATCCGCATCATCGATGTTGCGCAAATAACATATGTTTGAAGCATCTGAACCTTGTATTCCAAATTCTTGCAGCTTCAAAGCCTATGTTATGTAAAGAGATGAAATTAAAAAAAAAACATAAACTGTTCATCATGTGCTAGAACTTTTCTCAGTGAAGGATAGCAGGTTTCATGAAGAATTGAATTTGGAGCAAAAAATAAAGAGAAGTACAAATAGATCCAATACCCGAGCACCTGTCGCTATAATTAGAGTTTTGTAGCTGATAGTTTCACCAGTGCCTGTAAGCAATGTCTTGCGCCTCACATCAGCAGAAATCACTTTTGTTCCAAGAACAAGTTCAATGCCTAATCAAATAAAGTAAAAGTTAGAAAAATACAATAGATTAAAAGGATCATATGGATGGATCCACTGAATCATTTCCATCAATTATGAACAATAAGATGTTCTTTAAATATCCCATCATCCATAGTATTTGCCAATATGCAATACATGAAATAAATCATAGAATCCAGTAAAGAAAATTAAAAAAACTACCTTGTTCTTTGTACCATTTTGTTGTCAGCAATTCATCATTAGCACCAACGCAAGTATGAAATCCTGGAAGACGAGCAGCACCTGCAAGTATCTCAGGGGTCAATAACAGTCAGCGATATTAACAATGTCCACACCATTAAAAAAATCAAAAGGACCAACATTTGCCTCCAAAAAAATGGAGCAACCTTAGCCAAAATTATTTTAGCTGTGGAAAATTTAACAGAACATCGTAATTCTTCAAAACGAAGAGATATTACCTTCTGGGAGTAAATAGCCTTTGCTTAGTGCAGGACGTTCATAAGGAGCAACCTGTCGAGAATACAGAAATTGTAACTAGCAAAGCACTTGTCAAATAACAAAATCATAGAACATAGAACTACACAGTAGTTCTGATTCTGAAGTAAGTCTTGCAAGCAAAAGAACACGTCCTCGATGACCAAAGTTTCCACATCCGATTTTGCAAAAAACAGAAAAGTACACACTGTGTATTGTCTACCAAGGAAAAAAAAACATGTATGTCGTAGACAAAAGATTATGTAGAGCCTAATATATTGCATTGGTGGATGGAAAATGTCAAAACATCTTTTTCGTACTGTTGGAATAATTCATCATATAGCATGCACACCTAAAAATTCGGATTACATGCCTTCTCCAGACAAAAAACATTGTTTTTAGTGGTTGCGTACTTGTCGGCCTTCGTATAGTCTAAAAAGAACATCATTCAGTCACTGTTAGTTGATATTCATCAGTGATGTGAGGTCACAAGACCACGGACCCCCGGACGGAAAAAGTGATGGTCCAATCCTGGAGAATACAAATGATTTTGGCACTAATACCTCACCAATTAAATTTCACTACAAAACTGCAGATTAACAATGACTCTCCAAATTGCTCCTTTTCAGTTCTGTTCAAAGGTTGTTTCCCCTGCCTACGCAGTCTCTACTTCACCAGACATATATGCTATCTGAAGTAGATAGTAATCCTATCAGAGTTCGAAGAATAATAGAACAAGGAATCCAAGCTCCCGAAGCATTGCCGGCACTGGTCCTACCAGTGGAAGGTGTAGCAGGAAGGGAGATGGGAATACTAAAAAATCCCAGTCTCAAAGAAATGGGGAAAAGAAGAGGGATGCAACGGGAGCAGAGCGTACGGCCTCTTCGGAGATGATGCAGAGCTCTCCGCGGGAGTACCCTCCGCGGCGGGCGAACTCGAGCGCGGCGTAGCCCGAGGCCACGCCGCCGCCCAGGATCACGTACACGAACGCGCGCCCCATCCGCCTCCCTTCTTGCTGCCTCCTAGATGCGGGCCATGACTCGAAGATCTCCGAGTCTGACCTGACCTTCTCGGTGCGAGGGAGGAGACGACGGCGCGTTGCCTTTGCCTTGCTGCCTCTCTCCTTCTCTTGGCTCTTGCTGCGGCCCTGCTGGTCCCACCCCGTTATCTTCTTCGCTTTGGTTTCGTGGCACTCTCTCTTCGCCTCACTAGTCACGATGCAGAGTCGTTTTCTTCGCTCTTTGGACGTGTTCTTTTCCACGCCAGAACTAATTAGTCCCTTTAAACTAAATAACAGGAAGTAAAATAGGAATTATGAACTAAAATATAGTAGCCTCTTGGGGGCTGCTAATTAGAACTAAACAGCCCATCACATTTCAGGTAGTATATCGTATCGTAGATTATTCTTTCGCATTTGGTTTGGTGTGTGAGAGAAAACACTATTCCCTAAATTTGAAAATTTACGATCGTTCTGAAATGCGAGCAGGCTGCATATCCTCCCTCATGATCTCTCTCTTCTCCTTTAGTCCCTTTTAATCCCGGAAAATAAACACCATTTTAGTTTATGTTTTAGTCTCTGGTCTTGGAACTAGAGAAAAGAAGATATCCAGTTTTCCAGTGGAAGGGAGTACGTTTGCATATTTGTTGTCATCAATTACCTCCATTTGTTTTGCGCAAGGATGTGTAAGCTAGATACGGAAGATTTGGGTAGGTGACCAAAAAAAAACATTGGTTCCATTTTTATTATATTGCTGTCTGATTTTGAATTTGAAAAACTTAGATTTTTCAAATCAAATATCTAAAACATTTACATTTATTCTTGTGCCCAAAAATATTAGTATAATGATAATAATAATAATATATTATAGCTTATTATGGGAAAAAAGCACTCGACGACCACACAAACGGTCTTGAAAATAATATATATTCACGAGCAAATCTTGATCTAAGTAAAACACTAAGTATGATTCATTTATACAGCCTCTACCTATAACAACTATAATATGTCAAATTATAAATTAGCAAAGTGGCTATTTATTTATATGGTTACTATTTGAGTCCTCTAAAAGAAAGGAAAAACTATTTATGTAACAGCAATTGCTTGAGCCCGTCTTAGCCAACTATTATTGCCCAAAAGGTTCTTTTCATCTCTCCAGTGACATAGTTGTCTTAATCTACTAGTTTTATCAAAATATTATTTTAGCTATTTGAATATCAAGGCTAATTGGTTGCTCAAACATAAGGGTTTATTGGATGGTTAGCCTATGAGCCATGTACGAGTTGGTCCTTAACATAGGCCCGACTAATCTCGTACCTCACAATCAATTTCGCACACGTTCATAGCCTCGTAGGCTTCTCCTATTTAGCAGCGCTAGTGGATTTATATGGCGATGTATCATGGACTAGTAGGAACCATTATGAATGTTTTAAGTAGGAAAGAACCCTTTACCCAAGTTTCTGTTTGTATTTACCCATAGATGAAGTTTAAATAGCTACTAAGAATGGGTTTTAGGAAATGAGGTGGGTTACGCATAAAGGATTAGAATTTTTCTCTTTTCCCATGTTTGGCTTTTTTGGATTTAGGTTATGTTTATGTGGTGGGACTAGGCCGAAAATGTAGAACATGATCATGTCGGATCCCTTATTTCATGAATGTCATTATGAACAATCATGTTGTTGTTTTGGAAAGATTTATGTTCTCGTATTACTATTGCATTACAAAGTATCCCTCCACGTAACTATTTTTGTTCTCCGTTCCTCGTTCGGTTTCCTCCCGCGAACATACATGTTAAGTTATACTCAGTTTCAACTTTCAACAATGTAAAAAGTGTTAGCTATAAAATATTTTATTAAGAATGAGGGAGAATAATAAGTTAGCTTTTTATGAAAAGCTAAGCTCACACACTTTTTCTATTATTCATGTCCCCACCATGTAACTTAGATCCTTGAAAATAAAAGTAAAAGTAAAGTCTATTGGTGGTCGTCATACTTGTTCACATGTGGCATGCTGGCCGTCTCTAAACATGTAAATCATACGCTTAGATCCTCAAGCTTATTCAGTTGTATCATCTTGATCATTAGACTTGCAAAGCACCCATTTATTCAACTGTATCATCTTAGTCTCTAAACCTACAAATCACTTGTTAGGTCCGAACAAAGATCGAGTATCTAAATAAGCGGTTAATGAGTTTAGAGACAAACTTGTTCTACTATATCACCCGGTCCATAAACTGGTAAATCGCCTGTTTGATGGTGAGTAAAATGATATAGCCAAACAAATTTAAGTACCTAAACTAAATATGTAATGTGTGAGTTTTTAGGGACCATATATAAGGGCATGTTTAGTTCACCTCTCCTATACTTAATCATTTTTAATCACTAAAATACCAAACACCCCTACTGAAGTTTAGGGGTCACTAAAGTTTTGTGGCTTTTAATCACCGAGAAATAGGTAGAAGTGACTAAAGTGTAATAGCTGCTCACTAACGGGCCCTAAGACGCAGCCGACAAAGTTTAAGAATCGGCGGTGGACTTTAGGCTGTGTTTAGTTCGCGAAATAAAATTTTTTGATGTCACATAGAATGTTTCGGGGATGTCGAAAGGGGTTTTCGGATATTAATAAAAAAACTAATTACATAGCTCGCCTGGAAACTGCGAGACGAATTTATTAAGCCTAATTAATCTATCATTAGCGCATGTTAGTACTGTAGCACTTATGGCTAATCATAGACTAATTAGTCTTAAAACATTCGTCTCACGATTTCCAACCAAACTGTGCAATTAGTTTTTTTTCATCTATATTTAATACTCCATGCATGTGCCGCAAGATTCGATGTGACAGTTTGGGGCGAAAATTTTTGCTAACTAAACCACGCCTTACTTAAAAAAAAAAAAAAGGAGCTGACGGCTGACCTCGCGTACCCGTGCGGCGGGGCCTAGTGACGCACGCGGCGAGGCAGCTACGGCCGGCCGAGCGGGCGGCTGGCAGGTGGCAGCGCAGTTCTATGGGAGTGAGGCGGCCGCCGGCCCCGAGCTGCTACTGCTCGAGCTTGGCGACGGGCGGTTCGCTGCGCCGCGGACGGCCTGTGCGACGAGGCGGAGGCGAGGGGGACGGCTCCGGCGTCGCTCGTGGCAAGGCGGGCGAGGGCTCCGGCGGCCCTTGCGGCAAGGCGGGCAGCGACTCCGACGGTGTCACGAAGCGGGCAGCAGCTCCGGCACCACAGTGTACAACCGATAACCGGCGTCGGCAACTGGCCGACGTTGGGTGTTTTCCGGCCCTCGCATTCATGCGACCGCTCCAAAAGCTTCTAGAAGCCGCTGCCGCCGCCACCTCTACCCCTCTCGCCGCCGCGCATCTCCACGTTAACCTTCTCCGCTCGGGCCTCCTCCACTCTTCGCACCACCTCACCGAGCACGTCCTCGCGTGGTACCCTCCGGGCCTCGCCCGCGACCTGTTCGACGAAATCCCGAGTCCAACGCCTCGCCTCGCCAATGCGCTCCTCCGCGCCCACATACGCGCGCGGCAGTGGCGCGCCGCCATCCAACTTGGTCCGCGGCTCCGAGTGCGCCCGGATGGCTTCACCTTCTCGCTCCTGCTAAGGTCCTGCGCCGCGCTCCCCTCGCTCGCCCAGGACCGCGCTGTGCACGCGGTCGCCGTACGCTCTGGCATCGCGTCTGAAGACGCCTTTGTCGCCACAGCGATCGTGCAGATGTACGCCAGGTGTGGAGACATGGTTGGGGCCATCAATGCATATGGCGTGCTTGAGAAGCCGGACATTGTGCTTAGGACGTCTGTGGTAACCGGCTACGAGCAGAACGGAATGGCCGAGGAAGCACTGGAGTTCTTTGCAAGGAATGTGGTTGGTCAAGGCGTTATGCTGACACCAGTCACACTTGTGAGTGTGATGTCGGCAGCAGCACAGTTGGGGCATGTCCGGAAGGGACAGGCGTGCCACGCTTATGTTGTCAGGAACAGCTTGGGCTATGATCTAGCTTTAGTAAATGCTGTTCTTGGATTTTATGTGAAGATCGGTGATTTCCAGGCATCTATGAGGTTGTTTGAGGGTACGACGGATAGGGATGTGATCACTTGGAGCTGCATGATCAAAGGGTATGTTCAACATGGAGATGCACACGAGGGATTGAGAATGTACAGGGAGATGGTTAAGGCACGTGTCCAGCCCAATTCAGTGACTTTAGTGAGTGTTCTGCAGGCTTGTGCGCTTGTTGTTGATGCTGAGGAAGGTAAGAGAGTTCACCGGGTTGCTGTCAGCATAGGTTGTGAGCTTCAGGTGGGCGTAGCGACTGCTCTGGTTGATATGTACATGAAGTGCTCATGTTATGAGGAGGCAATGTGCTTATTTCATCGGATGCCAAAGAAAGATGTGGTCGCTTGGGCTGCTGTCATTGGTGGCCTCACACAAAATGAACTCCCTGGTGAATCCCTCCATGTGTTCAAATGCATGTTGTTGGATGATCATGTTCCTGATGCCGTCACGATGGTGAAGGTACTTGCTGCATGCTCAGAATTTGGTGGTACTCGCCTAGCCATTTGTCTCCATGGCTATTTAGTTAGAAATGGTTTCAATAATAATGCATTTGTAGCTGCTGCACTTCTTGATTTGTATTCAAAATGTGGAGACTTAGATAGCGCTGTCAGGGTATTTGAAGGTACTACAGAAAAAGATGTCGTGGTGTGGGTCTCAATGATTGCTGGTTATGGAGCCCATGGCCTTGGTCAGGAAGCTGTTGCGTTGTACCAAAGGATGATTGCCTCATCAATTCAACCCAACAGTGTGACATTTGTGTCAGTGTTATCAGCATGCAGCCACTCTGGCCTGGTTCAGGAAGGAATACAAATTTTTGATAGCATGACTCAAGTTTTTGGAGTCGTGCCAAATGCCGAGCATCAAAGTGCCATGGTTGATCTCCTTGGTCGGGCCGGTGAACTGCAAGAGGCTATAAGGTTCATTCGTGATATGGATGGAAGAGCTGTTGCCC